GTAACATACCCCCATCACTATAACTGTGATACCAGAGCTGAGGGCAGGTAACATTCCCCCATCACTATAACTGTGATACCAGAGCTGAGGGCAGGTACTGTAACATACCCCCATCATTATAATTGTGATACCAGAGCTGCGTGTCTGCTCACTCTTCTCTGTTAAACATACTACAATGTAGCACTGATTTCCATGTCACTAAGTCTGAAAATTGCATTCGTATCCCTATCAGCATATGTCATATCAGAAAACACTGTATGATACTTCATGAGCACTTGTTTTTACAACAAAATTGTCCAGGTGTGTGTAGGTGTGGGGGGAGGGGGGGGGGCAGTGTTGGCAACAAAATGCTTAAACCAGAACATCTGCAAATTGCATTTGGCTGAACTGAAGAACCTGGATCTCATGTCACTGAAATGAAGATAGATGCAATGTCCTGTGAGAGACATGTCCAGCAAATAAAATAAGAGCATATATGAAATACACAAATGCCCCAGAGTAGGTAAGGTCAACCTTAATGGGATGTGACAGGCTACACATATGGCGGTGTGTGTAGTTTACAGCCCTGTCAACGTCTGCGCCGGTACTGCTACCATCTCCAGGGAGCTCTGGCCGACTCGTGCTAAATCACGCGAGCGTTGCGGAGTGCGCTGTCGTTATCGTCCTACCCGAGAAGCTGCAGTGACTCTGGTGGCATGTGGATGTACACTGTTCCGCTTTATCTTGGCGGCTCTTCACCGTGAGATGCCCTTTCCTCTGTACGCATTCATAAATTGCTCTCCTGTCTCCTTGCTGGTCATAACCATCATATTTTATGTTACTGAGAAAATGTGTTTTTACCAGACTGCCTGTGAAGGGCTTTTTGTTGGCAATGGGAATATACTAACCAACATGTATTTGCATTCCCTGACTAGCAGGCTTCACTTACTGAGTAGTGTTTGTTAAGCCTTTTTATAATGGTTGGTTGGCATTTACCAGTTTAGTTATCTGCTGTGTAAAGATTGGTGTAATGGTTGCAGTTTGTAAATAACATAATGTAATATAGAGCTACTGTATTTGCCACCAAAAACTAGAAACCATTTTAATTCCCCTCCCTAAACATGTCCTGTTGTGACGGACATTTCACGATTTTCTCCATGACTCTGAAAGCAGTTGCTGAGAGCATTACCTGGCAACCCAAGCTCCCCCCCCCCCCCCCCCCCCAGTGAGGTCACTGCACATTTATGCCCTTTTATGTAAAGATTTGCTCTGGATAGGTGTCATGTGACATGCTGATGGGAAGGATGAATGTGGATTGTAGTGTGGTTGGGTTTAAAAGTGGATGGACTAATAATAATAATAATAATAATAAAAAGACAGGGTTTGGTTACAACACTTTGGTTTTGGTCACAACTGGATGTGCAGTCTGACATAAGCTGGTTTGGGTAAGTTTTTGGGGGTGAGAAAAGCAGAACGTAGTCTGGATATTACAATTGACAATATGATAGACTGTTTTTGTTAAGATCGATAAGACAGAGCTGACTGACAGTGCTTCCACCCTTTCACATATTCTGATTTAGCTGATGCTTCTGTTCAAATCAGCTGACAAGTGAGGGTCAGAGATCCTCTGGAGCAGTTGGGTTTAAGGGCGTTACTACAGGGCCCAACAATGACATTGTTACTCTTCGGGCCATGAGATCTGAACCTATGACCTTCTGGAAATGGGCATAGACCCCAGTAATCTAGTGAGCTACACACTAGTACATTTTAATATGTAATTAGGGACAAAGATGCTGATATATATGTATATTTATTCATTTATTTATTTATTTTATTAAACAAGTATTCTTGTATAACAATGTAATAGTGAATTTGTGTTAATTGCATGATGATGGATTCAGGATGAGCAAGGGCATTTTATAACTGCAGTAAATAAAATGATCGTTTTAATACAGATTTAATTAGACTAGAATACAGCGTGTCATATACTAATTTAAATGCTGCAGTATTTCTCAAATTGACTTATTTAGTAGCTAATGAATAATTATGTTACCCTTCAGGGAAATAAAAGTCTCTAGTTTATTTCTGAAATGTTATTTTTGGCCTGCACTGACCCTTGAATGGATCCCTTTGTGAAAGACTCCCTTTAACACACTGTGGCTGCCATACGCCACTTGTGTCCTGTTGTTCTTTTTTTTAAAAAATAACACACTCCTTTGATTGTGCAGATGCTTTCAACAGCCACTTTTAAATGTGGTTAATTTTAAAAGGAGAACAGTTTCATTAAAGAGACATGATTGTGAGTGCATGGGAAAAATCCCCCATTCATCCTTAGTTATTCAGAAGTCATTCAGCTTACCATAGGTTAGGCACCCTCAGCTTAGGAACAAAAAGAATTAGCGGCAAACGACTTTGCATTTTGTTCGTGGAAGTCTCTGTTGCACAATGCATCAGGGACCACCTAAGATTTTAATTAAAGTGATGAATAAGGACTCCAACAATACAGAGGCAAATTCATTACCACAACAGCCTTTTCAAAAGCACTCCAGTATTTAGATACCAAGCCTATTTTCAGATTAGTCCATTTGAAAATGCTTTAA